AGAATGAGAGCATGAGTGGGTGAGACAGGAAGAGAGAGACAGAGAGAGAGAGAGAGAGAGAGAGGGAGAATCTTAAGCAGGCTCCATGCTCAGTGCAGAGTCCAATATGGGGTTCAATCCCACAACCCTGGGACCATAACCTGAATTGAATTCAAGAGTCTGATGCTCAACTGACTGAGCCAGCCAGGTGCCCCAGTATCTATACTTTTTAAACATCATTTGTGGATGCTATGTTTACCTTACCAATATGTAATTTTCTGCATTAATCCAAATATTCTTCCCATATGTATGCTATTTAAAAATTATGTGATGATGAGGGTAGTAGAGAATTTCAGAGTCAAATGTACTTGTGAATTCAACTTATTTTGAGGTGGATGATTAAAAAGTTTCTAAAAAACATGTAATGAATTGTGTCAGTGAGATTTGCGTACAAACATGATGCATAGATAGAGACCTATACTTTCTACTAACATTAGTATATGCATATTGGTGTGAGAGATATTGTTGGCTCACCCAATGCTCATTTTTTTTAAAGTTTATGTATTTATTTTGAGAACGACAGAGACAGTGCAAGTGGGGGAGGGGCAGATAGAAAGGGAGAGAAAATCCCAAGTAGGCTCCACACTGTCAGCACGGAGCCTGACATGGGGCTTGAACTCATGAACCATGAGATCATGACGTGAACCGAAATCAAGAGTCAGACACAACCAACTGAACCACCTAGGCTTCACCCCGCTTTTTTTTTTTTTTTAAAGCAAAGGTATTTAACCAATTTTTTTTTAATGTTTATTTATTTTTGAGACAGAGAGAGACAGAGCATGAACGGGGGAGGGGCAGAGAGAGAGGAAGACACAGAATCGGAAACAGGCTCCAGGCTCTGAGCCATCAGCCCAGAGCCCGACGCGGGGCTCGAACTCACGGACCGCGAGATCGTGACCTGAGCTGAAGTCGGACGTTTAACCGACTGCGCCACCCAGGCGCCCCTTCACCCCGCTTTTTAAAAAATTATTCAGCACTCATTTCTAACACTGTTCTCTCTTACCTATCTCTTTTAAAGATACTGAACAATCTAAAATATTCAGGGGGCGCCTGGGTGGCGCAGTCGGTTAAGCGTCCGACTTCAGCCAGGTCACGATCGCGGTCCGGGAGTTCGAGCCCCGCCCGCATCGGGCTCTGGGCTGGTGGCTCAGAGCCTGGAGCCTGTTTCCGATTCTGTGTCTCCCTCTCTCTCTCTGCCCCTCCCCCGTTCATGCTCTGTCTCTCTCTGTCCCAAAAATAAATAAACGTTGAAAAAAAATTTTTTTTTTAAATATTCAGTTACCAGACCATTGTAAAGCTGGAGTTGGCTCTATTATACAGCTCTGGCCAAGAAAATATAAGCAAAAATATGCTGGTGCCTCCTTTCCCCATTTCCCTTTCTCCTTCCTTGAGTGCTGATATGCTGGCAGGAGCTACAGCAGCCACCTTGTAATCATGATCGGAAAACCAAGAAAATGACAGATATAGGAGCCCTGATTTTCTTAGGCCTCTGAAATAATGCCATGAACTTCCTACCCCCAACTTATTATGCATAAAAAAATAAAACTCACTTTTTGTTTAAACAACTGTAGTCAGTCTTCCTGTCACTGGCTGTAGGGGAAAAAATCCTGATTAACACATGTAAGCCTACAGGGAGAGGAGAGTTGGGTCTCTATTTTAACAAGGCTCACTTTTTATTTAATGTTTTTTATGTTTGGGTTTTTTTTTTGTTTTTTGTTTTTTGGTTTTTTTTTGAGAGAGAGAGAGAGAGGGCATGAGTAGGGGAGGGGCAGAGAGAGAAAAGGAGACACAGAATTCAAAGCAGGCTCCAGGCTCTGAGCTGTCAGCACAGGGCCCAACATGGGGCTCGAACTGGTGAACGCTGACCTGAGTTGAAGTCAGCCATTTAGCCAACTGAGCCACCCAGATGCCTCAATAAGCCTCACTTTTTTTTTTTTTAAACGTTTATTTATTTTTGAGACAGAGAGAGACACAGCATGAACAGGGGAGGGTCAGAGAGAGAGAGGGAGACACAGAATAGGAAAACAGGCTCCAGGCTCTGAGCTGTCAGCAACGAGCCCGACGCGGGGCTTGAACTCACGAACCGCGAGATCATGACCTGAGCCGAAGTCGGACGCTTAACTGACTGAGCCACCCAGACGCCCCACGCCTCACTTTTAAACAAACCCAAAGCCAGCTTTATTTATAAACTTGTTACTGAGAACCTGTGATAACTGACCAAAGTAGATATCAGAATTTCTAAATTTTATCCACCTGTTTTCTGGATCATATCCAGAGATGTGAATGCATCTCCTGAAGCAAAACTAAAATAAAGTATTTAAATCCTCATGACACTTGACAGTGGGAGAACATAATTAAAGGCATTCATATACTTGCTATGCAAAAAAGTGAAGTTCCACTTTACAAATCCAAGAGACAATTCATCCAAGCCTCTCCATATCCATCCCTCCATAAGCCATTGCTTATCCATTATTATAAATTGAGGATAAGCTATATGACAGGCTATGTGCTCTATGCCAGGAATGTAAAGAGGCAGACACTGCTCAGTCCTTGCCTTTGAGGATTTCATTTCCAGGCTGGGTGTGGGAGGTGAGAGGAGACTCTCCATATAAACAAATATTTTTGATACTGTGTGAGAGTGAAAAGAGTAGAGTAGTAAAGAGAGGTTCATAATGGAGAGCAAAATGGAATAAGTGATTTGCTCGAGACCCTACAGCCAATAAATAGTCTGTTTCTTCTGGGCAAGTCTTTTTCATGATACCAACCATTGCCTGAGATAAATAGATCAATATTTGGGATACAGAAATGTTTTTGTGTTATAAAAATGCTGTCATTTGGGCCATTGTTTACAGAAGTTGACTGGTGTGAAGGTGTTGCCCTTGACCCAGCAATATGGCTCATGCTATGAGATTTGTTGCCCTCAAGGACTTGTCCCTCTTTTGACCTGTTATGTGTTTTGCTAGACGCTAGGGTTACACATAGGTGTCAGGCGTGCTGCGTGCCTGAGGGGCTGGAGTTTTGTTCATATTCTCCTTGTCTACTCTTTCTTGCCACCAGTGAGGTGGCTGATTGAGGAGGAGGGCATGGCCTTTGCTTCATAACTCCCCATCCAACTGGCCATTCTAGAATAAAGAAAAGCACGTAGGAAAACAGGGTGCAGGGGAAGAATGAGACCTTAGAACTTTAGTTCGTGGAAAGAGACAGATTTCTCTCTGTCTTTGTTCAGTGATCTTTTCTATTGACTTAAGAAAAATAACTTGTTAAACATCTGTCTTCCCCTCCCATTGCTGTTGTTTATGGAGGAGCAGATTTCCCTTAATTCTGAAGCAGTGTCTCCTTTCCTTAGGAAAACAGGTGTCCAAACATGCAGCAAATCAAATTGTCAAACAGCTGAAATAGACATTCTACTTTCTTTTATCCTTTTACCTAGAAATTCTTTGGTGAGCCTGATGATTTCCTAGTTTGGAATTTTGTTTTTCCTTGTGATATTTATGACCAGTCTTTTTTTAGTATTTACTATCACATCTCTGTCTTCTGTATCACTGCTATTTGGATGTGAAAATCTATTTAAGAAATAATATTCTTTTGATACCCTTTTATTTAAATGAAATGTGTTTATAAACATAAAGAACTCAGGACCACATTGAATTCTGTCATATTAAAAACATATTTAGGAATAAAGAAAGAGAAATTGAGCTGATATTGACCAGTACTTTTATGTGCACCCTCAAATATTCCTTGTCACTGCATGTCTAAATATATGGAGGGAAGAATTATGATCTCATTTTTCAGATGAGAAAATCAAGGCTAATAGAGCTCATTAAGTCCAAAATCACACAATCAGAAAATATTGAAGTCAGGATTCAAAACCAATCCCTATCTAATTTTGAAAACCATGCACTTTATACTTCATCACATAATAGAGTCCTTCCTAATCTAAGTATAGCACGTTGGTGAGCAGTCAAGTCTAGACTCTATTGCTGTGAGGTCATGGATAAAGTATCAGCTCCATGGTTCTAAATCTCCTTCTGTATGTGATGGATGAAATGGCAATACCTATGTGATAGGACTTTGGTAACTATTAATTGAGTTAATGCATGTGAAAAGGCTCAAACAGTATTTGGTACCTAGTAAATGCTCTGTAAGGTTGTTTATTATTATTATATGTCACTTCATGGTATAATAGCATGAGTATGCATCATGGCTTTGCTTTCATGTACTGTCTCATCACGAATGAATAAGTGGTGCTAAACAGATATTGATGTTGTTTTTAAGTTCTGGTATTTGTATATGAAGGATCTCCCTAATTCTTCTCACTGATTGACAGATTTACGGGAGAGAAAAGGATTTTAGTACAATTGTTCACAAACTTTTGTTTCAACAGTAGAACCCTTTTTAAAATACATATAGAAGAGGGACGCCTGGGTGGCTCAGTGGGTTGAGTGTCCAACTTTGCCTCAAATCATGATCTCACCGCTTATGAGTTTGAGTCCTGCATCGGGCTGTGTGCTGACAGCTCAGAGCCTGGAGACTGCTTTGAATTCTGTCTCTCCCTCTCTCTCTGCCCCTCTCCTGCCTCACACTCTGTTTCTCTCTCAAAAATAAACATTAAAAAAATTTTTTTTTAATTTAAAATACAGATAGAGGCATTGCTGCTTTGACTGAACTAGGGGAAGTGACTCCGGGAACTCTATCCACCCCTTTGCCCTCCAGTTCCCCTGCCAGCTCATTATTGCCTTGGGGGTCTTTCTGGGAAACCGTGAATGACACATAATGCAGACTGAGAATCACCAATCCACAAAGCACCCAACAAAGCACATTGGATAGTGACCGATAAGTACTATCAATTCTCAATTTCTGTGATAGGCGAGTGTCCAGAAGCCCTCACTCTGGATCTCAAAAATTGTCTTTACTCAGTTTCCATTACACAGTCTCTGCTGATAGTTTTGTTTACCTGGCAGGGTCTACAGTTTGGAACCAGTGAACTGGAGGAGATGGGAGCCATGTTCTGTTTGGGTCTCCTCATCTTGGAACTCAAATCTGTAAGCTGTAGTCATCAGCTCCTGACCTGTGCAGCAACTCTCCTGAATGCTGAGGAAGAGGCTCTGGACCACCACCTCCAGCGGTAAGATGCTTACAGGGGTGTGAGGGGAATTTGGACCTTGGTGTTCCGATCACAGCACATCTCAGAAATGAAAGCCATGTGGTCCTATGGGTCTTTGACGAGGACAAAATATGGAGGAGCTGCCAATTGAAAGTAGGGGCAGTCACAGTCTACTGGACCCAGACTCAGGGTCATTCTCACTTCCTGTGTTCTTCACTCCCTGTGTTCTTACTGAACACAGGGAGGATGCTGCCTACTTGTGTTCTTACTGTGTTCTTACTGTGTTCTTACTGAACACAGGGAGGATGCTGCCTACTTGCACACGTAAATGAATATATAAGTCAACATGTAATTATAAACATGCATTATTAATAAATTTTGCTTGTGATAAAGAAGATGCAGCTTAGCAACACACATGTGCATCTACATATACTTATGCCTGCCAGTAATGTGTTTATATTTATTCAGGCATCATTTGGGAGCCTGTTACTCGGCAAATAAAGGTAATCTCACTGCCAGTATTTAGGAACTTGGGGACAAGAAATGTATCCTCTTCCCATTCTTAAGTAGCACTGTTCCTTCTCCGATGATGAGAAGAACCACCTGAAGATGATTAATACATTTGCCTGGAGACCCTGACTCACAGCCATGGCAGGGGAATGACAGATTTCCAAGGACTGTGAGGAACATTAATGAATCAAGAGAGGGGGAACCATTATCCATATGAGCCTTTTTGATGCCTTTTACTCTGGACAAATATTTTAGACTTGACAAAAATAGATTTAGGGGCAAGAAAGGAAGATATAATAGCCATATGAGAGGAGAGAGGACCAAGAAAAGTCAGAGGAGTCAAAGAAGACTAAGTCATTGCCCATATTTTGAGCCAGTGAATGGATGGGGTGTTGAGCTATTGGAGGAGGAAGTACCTACTGGTGAATGAGGAAGCATCTCATCATGTCCTTCATGTCCAAAAGCAGAGAGAAAGCCATTAATACAGGTGCCATTTTATTTCTAGTGCATTTTCATTCATTTTCCTCCTGCCATTGTTAGGCTGTGGTTCCAGCGTGACTTCTCACCAAATGGCCAGTCAAGCCTAAAATGATCTAGCAGTGTAAATTAATTTTACTTTGGAAGGTACTGGTTTCTCTGAGACTTAATTACCTAAATGCAGTAATTAACTTGCTCGTCACACTGTGCTATAGATCATAGACTATGGGGACCTAAGTAAATCCAGACTTCTTTCCTCCCTAGAGACACTGCCCCTGATTTCTTTTGTTTTGACATCACCACCACTGCCATCTGCCCCCACTCCCTTCAACACCCCTCAGCGCCCCAAGGCTTGGTGTGTTTGGCATCACTGTGGTGTTTCTGCCTCTCCCTCTGACAGCAAGCACTTCTACCTGCCAGGATATATATTTCATCTTGTCTTTTCATCTTTTGCTAAGCTATCTTGGGTGCAGGCATGCCTGAATTTTCTTTCTTTCTTTCCTATCCCCCCACTTTCTTCTCTGCTGCTCATTGAGAGAAGATTGAGCAGACCTGGCGTTGCTTGCTTTCCCTGAATTGATTGTGCCCGTCTGTTTGATCCAATGCAGTGAGGATTAGTTGCCTGTAAACTGGAACAAGAAGAAATCTATCAAAGAAGTGCCTCTTCTAATTCAAGTCTAAAGAATTTGGTGTCGAGCTCCAAATACAATAGCTGCCATGTGGGTTATCATAAGAAGATTATATTTCTTATTCTTCCATGCCATCCCAACACTCCTGATTATTAATTGTTCAGTTGCAACCATCCCAAGGGTTCTAAAGCTTAAAGTCTTCCCTGACCTCTGGCCTTTCTTAGGCTGGTGCATCCCCAGGACAAGATACTACACATAGGATTTGATTCATGTGTGTGTTTTAAGGAGGTCTACACTACATTCAAGAGGCATGGAGTTTGGTGGCAAGCAGTGGGATGGAATTTGCCTGTTTCACCCAAACATTGTTATTGACTTAATCCACTCCTATTCACTTAGGCAGTTGGACCAAAACAGACTATGGTTCCTGCCCAAAGGACCTGGAAACTGCATGATTGAGAGGAAAATCACCCTGTAAATATCTTGACCAAGATATTGGCTCCTTATTGGAGCCAATAAGGGTGTATTCATTAAAGGATGACGGAGGGGAACTTAATAAAATAAAATCCACTGGTTTGCAATCAGCATCAGGCTGTTTGAGTACCTTTGATTAGTTTCTGATGAATAGGGCTCAGTCATGAGCTCTAGTAATCAGCAGAGCAGAGCAAATCCTAGGGATTTTGTTAACAACAGGGATCTTACTATAATACAAAGAGCATAACTAATGTTTGTCAACACTACCCTCCGTATGCTTTAAAGAGGAGATTTCAGCCACCCTCCTCCCCACCGACATTTCCCTGGGTGTGCTCTGTGTAACAGGGTTATATACTTTGGGAAGATTCTTTTTTAGTTGCACAGAAGGAAATACTAGGGGGGAAAGAAGGGTGGGTTTTTGCCTAAAAGTCAGTCATAAAGAAATCTGAGGACATCGTATTTGGAATCTCTTAGGCCCCCATAGAAAGTGTTAACCCCGGGAGTAACGTGCAGGGAAGACAAAGTATGGCCTTACGCTGCAAACACCACGGTTTTTGACAATAGTTTTCACACTTCATTTACCATAAAAACAAGTAGAGTGTAGTTAACATCCACAGAGAAACTTACCATTTTTCATGGGCAGAGAAAGAGCAGAAATGGTGGATGTTTGCCCAGTGGCCGAAGCGTAAAAAGAAGTATGGTGCATTGCGCTCTTTGTTTTGGTTTGTCTTTTACAGTTTCTCTCCTTCCCCGTTGCTCATTTAAGAAACGTCTGCAGACTCCTTAAGGCGTCTTTTGATCTTTCCTCTCCTCTTCCTTCCTCCTTTTTCTCAGTCCTATCCCCAGAAATAATTGCGCGCACATTGCAGGAATGCTAAGCTGTTTCTTCAGGAGGCACCGTTTATCCATTGTGACAGGTCTTTTGCAAAGTCACTTAACAGTTTTGCCGAGTCAGCCACTGTTCATCTGGATTTGTATCCCTCCAATGCCTCTTGCCTTTCTCAGCTGAGCTCCCCTATCTCCACTTGTCCCTCCATTAATAACAGAGAGAGCTCAGAATTTCTGAGCTGTGCCTGGCTATAGCTCCATATCTAGTTTATTCTCCCAAATGATAGTCCTGTGACATGAACCTGGGCTCCCCCGAGCATCAGGACAAGTTCATTTTGTCCTCTCTTTAGTTTGATGAGGCAAGACTAAACAAATAAAAATCTGTCATAGACTTTAGAGAACATAATTATATTTTTAATAATTAAAAGGTACTTGATTTTTATTTAAAAATAGTTTTGCCTTTCTCAATTATATAAAAAAATTGTATTTTGGTAAATCATATTAAGTTATATTTTGGAGAGCACACACAAAAATAACATATACCTGACTTTAATCACCCTGCTTTTAATAGAGAACTGTTGTCAATGTTTTGGTAAAATTAGATTACTTTTTTCACCTAAACAAATATGTAACATCCTTAACAACAATGTATGAGAGGTCCCTTTTCTGTAACTTTCTGAACACTGGTTTTCTTTCTTTTTTTAAAAATAGACTTCATTTTTAAGAATAGGTTTAGCTTTACAGTAAAATTGAAAGTACAGAGGTTTTCCATCTACACCCTGCCCCAGACACACACAGCCTCCCCTGTTATCAACATCCCCCACCGAGTGGTCCTTTTGTGACAATTGATGTACTGACACTGACACATCATTATCATCCAAAGTCCAAAGTCTACCTTGGGTTCACTCTTGGTGTTCTATAGTTGTGGATTTGGACAAGTGTATCTACCATTATAATTTCATACAGAGTAGTTTCCATGCCTTAAAAATCCTCTGTACTCTCTGCCTATTCATTACTCTTTCCCCACTACCCCCTGGCAGCCACTGATCTTTTTACTGTCTCCCTAGTTGTACCTTTTCCAGAATGCTGTATAATTGGAACCATACAGTACATAGCCTTTTCAGATTGACTTCTTTCTCTTAGAAATATGCATGTATGTTTCCTCCATGTCTTTTTCATGGCTTGATAGCTCATTTCTTTTTAGCACTGAATAATATTCCATTGTCTGGATGATTCACAGTTTATTCATCCATTCAAGCCACTGAAGGACATCTTGGCTGCCTCTAAGTTTTGGCAATTATGAATAAAGCTGCTGTAAACATCTATATACCTATTTTGTGGGGACATAAGTTTTTCAGCTCCTTTGGGTAAATACGAAGGAGTGTGATTGCTGGATCGTATGGTAAGAGCATGTTTAGTTTTGTAAGAAACCACCAAATCATCTTCTGAAAGGACTGTACTATTTTGCATTCCCACCAGCAGCAAATGAGAGTTCGTACTGTTCCATATCCTCACTAACATTTGGCTTTGTCAGTGTTCTGGATTCCGGCCATTCATATAGGTGTACAATGATATCTGATTGTTTTCATTTGCATTTTCCTGACAACATGCCATGTGGAACATCTTTTCATATGCTTATTTACCAGATTTATGTCTCTCTTCTTTAGTGAGGTGTTATTAAGGTCATTGGCCCATTTTTTAATCAGGTTATTTTCTTCTTACTGAATTTTAAGAGCTCTTTGCATATTTTGGATAATAGTCCTTTATTAGATGTGTCTTTTGCAAATATTTTCTCCCAGTCTGTGGCTTGTCTTCTCATTCTCTTTCGCAGTATCTTTCCCAGAGCAGAAGTATTTACATTTAATGAAATTGAGCTCATAAGTTATTCCTTTCATGGATCGTGCCTTTGGTGTCGTATCTAAAGAGTCATCACCAAACCCAAGGCCATTTAGATTTTCTCCTACCTATTTTCTAGACACACCAGTTGCTTTTGCATTGAAATCTTTGCCATTTTTAGGTGAAAATGAGTTGAATTTGAATGTTTTTGTTTTTTGTGGATATGTGCATCCATTTTTTTCTTTGTTTATTTTAGCTTTAATAACCTTC